ATGAAGAGTCACCACCCGCATTACCTCCATAAATGAAATTGATGTCATGGTGCCTTCTCTCCCGCTTTGGCCCTGGTTCTTCCGAGGCCTCCTCGTCACTCTCATTCCCGATATGCCTTTTCCCTACCATGTGTGTCTCCTGCTGCGTGCACGCCACTTGTTCTGAAGGCTTCCTCCATACATGGTTGGGTTGTTGCATAGCCCCCTTGACGAAATTATTCGAATGACTCCTTTGGATCAGTCTCTCAAACTCTCGTTTCAAGGTGAAGCACTCCTCCGTATCATGACTATCAACCCGGTGATATCGACAATACTTTTTAGCACCAGAGACAGCGTACACTTCACCCTCTGGCCTCGGTCCTTGCATGAGACCTGTACGCTCGGCATAGTCCATGATCGTGCCCACCGGATGGGTTAGGGACACTGGGCTCGCATTAGAAATCTGCCTTGGACCATAATTGAAATCTTTCTTGTTTTTCTTTTGATTTTTGTGGTGAGGGGTAGACCCTTCCCTCCAAGGTTCCGATGACTCATCCTTTTTCTTTTGCACCTCTCAAATCTCCGCATCGGCGTATCGGTCGGCCCTCTGCAGGGCCGCCTGGTACGACCTTGGTGGGTCCCGAATGAGACTTGAGGCGAACTCCCCAACTCGTAACGCTGCCTGGAACATGGCAAGGCGAGTTTGGTCATCTACCCCATGCACGGCAGCAGACTCCTTCCTCCACCGTATCACGAAATCTTTTAAGTCCTCACTCTTCTTCTGCTTCACGGTCAGGAGGTGTGAGTAGTGATGTTTGGTTCTTTTGCTTGCGGCAAAGTGTTGAAGAAACCTTTGCGCTAAGTCCTCCCATTCATCAATCGAGCCATGGGGGAGAGAATTGAACCACTCACACGCAGTTCCCTCTAACGTAGCTAGGAAACATCGATAAATCAATTTCTCTGATGCCCCAATCATAATCATATTAGCATAATAACGTGACAAATGTTCCTGGGGATCTGAGGTTCCCGAATAGGCCTTGACATGGGGCACCTTGAAGCCGACTGGTAACGGGTACGCCATGATCCGTGTGGTGAACGGGGTCACCGTATTCAGTTTAGCGTCTGTGTGTCCATCTCCTGCATCTACACGTCGTTGCAGGTCCTCAATTTTTCTCCATAGCTTCCTCACCTCCACATCATTCGGATCATTCTCGATTTTGTCTATGTGTATCTCACATGTTTCTTACCACCGTCCTCTACTTCTGCGTTCCTCGGTCTTTGTGACCGTTTTTCAGCCCCATCGATATGCTCGGTCATGTGCCCAAGTGAATGGTGACTTGCAGTCACATGAGTGACTTTGGGAACTTGCGCACGCTTCTCCTCATCATGGTTGCGTCGTCCACGGTGGTTTTGTGTATCCCTTTGTTTCTCCACATGGTGAGACCGTCCGATACGGTCTTTAGCAGAGCGTCGCCTGTCTCCCAACCTGCTAAACACCGAGGTTTCACTTCGAGCTGGTTGGTTCGAAGGGGCAGGGATCCCTCGTCCTTCTCTTCTCTCTCTCTATCTTTTTGAGACGACGCTGGTGATGTCACCTCCATCTCCACCACTGGATGATTAGTTGGAGCTTGAGTTCCATGTGGTTGAGGAGGCTTTTGAGCACCAGGAATTGCACGGCGTACGTCCTTCGCAAGAGTACCTAACATCTTGGTCATCCCTAGGATGGCACCATGGACGTCAGGGACTTCTATGGGAACCACCACAGGGCGACTGAGTCGGTTACGAAGATCCTGATCCGATGAGTTGGACGCAGTGTGTCCATCAGCGGGTACCTCCTTCTCGGCCCTGGTAGTAGCCATTGTTACCACGTCTGAAATTGCCTGAGTGTTTCTTCGGCTCTCAATGAAAGCACCAAAATGATGGTAGTAAATCCACCGGAAAATAATTAATAAGAGATAGCCGAAAATAATTAAAGTGCTCAGGATAATCTTTAGAGAGATAAATGTATGCAAGGTATTCAGTGTATTCAGCTTGATTGTTCTTCCAAGAGTTACATGAATTTATAATACAAAATTGAGACAACAAATATTCGGGCGACGTGGTCGCCATGCCTGAACTGACGCGCCACCATCCTCTGATTTGTAGGACTGATTGCGAGTTGACCCGTGATCTCCGAGATTTGTTGTTGGTCACGTAGCTTCTGGGAAGTAGCATCATGCATGTACGATGGTCTAAGCGCTTGTGCACCACGCGCGTTGAGGCTCACCATGTGATGCTCAGCAGGCCATATTCAAATCCCATGGTAGAGGTAAGAGTGTGTCGTGCTCAGCATGTCATGTCTAAGCCTCATTGTAAAGATAAGACCATGTCATGCTCAGCGCGCCATATCTTTGTAAATGTGACTCCATTATTCTCATCCCGGTGTGTTGACCATGTATTTCATTGGGCCTGATGTCCATGTTCGTCCTGTCCATATCATTTACGGGCTCGGCCCACATTCAATCGGGCTTACCATATTGGGCTGGTATTTATGTCATCAAACATATAACACTGAATATGCAGAAATTATTGCATATTTCTAAATCAGCTTTAGATGCTTCAAAAGGAGTACTGGAAGATTATAAGGCCCAGATTAAGAAAACGAAGATAATTCAAAAGGAGTACTGGGAAATATTTCTTTATTTCAGTTTATTAATTACTATTGCATATTGATTACAATAGTGTGCAAGGCTCTATAGCTGTTATTTGTGGATGTTGTTTGAGAATTTCAGTTTCCATCCCAGTTGCAAATCATCGAACCAAAATTGTCATTTTCCTTGAAATATGACTCACTGGAACAAAGAATGGTCATATGAAGAAACAAGTTAATTAGGCAAAAAAGTGTAATAACAATAATGGGATGGAAGTCACAGGGTTATAAAACTCTATGGTTCTGCCACTATTCCCTCTTTGTACGGTTTATTGTTTTATATTGTAGGTTGAAATGCGAGCATGTGAGGCCCAAAATATAGACAAATGTGAAGAGGAAAATGAGAAAGAAGACACTACTAAAGAAAAAGAGCCCGAACATTCGTATTCAATGACATCAAATGATGTAGATACAATTATGAGCACTTTGATGTGGAACATGAGAAAGAAGACAATGCTAAAGAAAATGAGTTGAAGAAATGAAGTTGCATGCCTTCCGTTTATTCATATTCTGACCAGTTAGAAGATTTGTAGTTTTTATCAGAACTATTTTACAATGTTGTGATATTTTTTCAAGCTGACCATGTTACTTTTTAGCTTACGATACATTCTTTGAGATGCATTCAAGATATTGTTTCTAGCATATGATATGTTGGATATTTCTTTATTACAAATTATAAATATTTTAATACTTGTAATATTATATTATAAAAAGTTATTACAAAATGGTTAATATAAATATTGATAAGGGTGTTGCTTATAATTTTAGAGAAGTGTCGCCAATTTTGAATAAAATGTTGCATAAAGTATTCATTAAAGTGTTACGAAATATAATAAGTGTTGCAAAATAGTATAGCAAGAGGGCAGTTCACATCAGGAGCTCCTGAAGAGAAGCCCCGTGCGGACAAGCCCATCAGAGGGTCTTCCCGGTGGAATTTTTTGATGAATTTTTTTGAGCATGTTCCTCATCAAGTCTAGTTTGTCCATACCAAATTTAAGCTCAAAATTCGATCGGGAAGGCAGTCAAATAAATCCTGGTAAAATATGGCGCTTTCTGCGCACATATAATGTGCAGTATGTTTATAGGATTTATTTGACTGCCTTCCCGATCGAATTTTGAGCTGAAATTTGGTATGAACAAACTAGATTTGATGAGGAACATGCTCAAAAAAATTCATCCAAAAATTCCACCAGGAAGACCCTCTGATGGGCTTGTCCGCACGGAGCTTCTCTTCAGGAGCTCCTGATAGGAACGGGACTCAGTATAGCAAGTATGTTACATATATAATAAAATGTGTTGCCTAAAGTCATATCTTAAATGTTACATTTATTTGAAAAAGTGTTGCATAAAATGCACATTAAAGTGTTGCAAAAAAGTGTTGCATTTGAGGTTTTTATGCAACACTTTCATTTAGTGTTGCATAATAAGAGAAAAAGTGTTGCATATGACTTTATGCAACGAGACCTGAAGTTATGGCCATAGAAGTGTTGCATTAGCCTTTTGTAACATTTTAATGACCTAATGAAACATTTTGAAAGCGTTGTCAAAGGCTTGTTTTATTGTAGCGATAGAGAATCCAATGTGATATGAATAGACACAATAAGTTGAAAAGGGGATCCAATGTGTTATGGATAACCGGATTTGGGGCCTCTGCCTTGCTCTAGCAGCAAGGTAGGGTGCCTGGCCGAGGGCTACCGTCGGATCAGGACCGTCAACGGTCGGAGATCATTGGAGGCCATTTTTTGTGTATCTCGAGGTGCTCTTCTTCATATTCATCCGTCCGTTGAGCAAGGCACGGTCCTAGTCGGGCAGAGGATCTCCATTCTGGATAACCACACAAGTTGTAAAGACAATCCAATGCTCCAATATCTTTGAACTCACTTGAGTCACTTCATCGAAAAACGCAAAAAAAATTAATGATTTTTTTACATCGAAATGTGTCTTTTTTATTTTACAATTAATCAGAGAAAAAATTAAAAGGAAAACAATACTCATAATAATTTCATGATTTTTTATTAAATTGATATGTAAAAAAATGTGCAGAGTGTATTTTATTGACGGTGTTGGAATACAGAGAAATAAGAGTCAAAACACCATTTTCATATGGACGGAGTTCATTTTTTTACATTTAGGATGTTTTTACTTGGACTGTAATTTGCTGGTCTGATCTGATCTGGTTTGAACTGGTTTGATCTGGTAATGTCTGGTCTCTTTGTATTTTTATAACTATCCAAATCTGGTCTGATCTAGCCTAGTCTGATCTAGTGTAGTCTTGGACAACGGTCTCTATGTGTGTTGTCACTTTGGCCTCTAACACTGTACAAAGTGACCTCATTCACATGTCACAACTAAGCAGTCCTCATGTCAATTGTCAAATTCATTCTTTCTCCTTTACACGAATACATAGCCAATGTCCTAGGGTTTAGTTAACCAGAACTTCCGAGTCAGCTACCACCACCTACACCATGACTGAAGCAATGGATGCCTTAGAGGATGGCACTGACCTTGGTCATGAGCCAAGCAAGGAGAATTTCACCAAATCTGTGGAGGATGTAGAATCTTCTCCTCCTCCTCCACCTGCAAGGCGAGGTCGCGACCGGGAATCTCGCGAACGCAAGGATGAGCGAGATTTTGATAGACGAGGTGGTCGTGGAGACTACAATGATCGCGACCGATCTCCACCGCCCCCTCCTCCTCCTCGAGAGCGTGACTCTAAGCGCGGCCGCCCTAGCCCTAGCCCTCCTCCCCCACCTTACCGTGACCGCCGAGGGGGACATTCGCCTACCCGGCGCTCGTCTCCTAATCCATCCTACAAGCGTTCTCGCAGGAATGACTATGATGGTCGACCCAGAGGTGGCTATGGTTCTGGTGATAGGAGGTGAGTTTCTTGTAACGGAGACATGTATTGAAGTCATTTCTTTGCAGCATATGCCCAATACACGAAGTGATTTATCTTGATTTATCTTTAGTGTGATATGGGGTAATTATATCAAAGCTGTCTTAGGCTTACATTTTGTGTGCACGTTTGTCCGTCCAAAGCACACTGACAGCCGCCCTATAGGTGCACAAGACAGCACACAAGTTAATGCTGGCGTACAATGTACAAACCAATCTCTATGTCTACAGTGTCTCTGTGCACAAACACTGTACATAGACCAAATTATGATATTTTCATACAAATTTTATAAAAACAGACAATAGTTGTATGCTCATTGTGATCAATTTGCATTGTCTGTGTGATTGATTTTAACTGTCTACGTGAACAAAATTTATAACTGTGTGTAGACGCAAAATAATGGTGCAATTGTTTGTGTGACCATTACACATGTAATTTGAGAAAAACTCGAAAGATAATAAAAAGGATGGAAAGAGGGAGATAGAGAGGTACATTGTGCAAGTAAAGAAAAAAATTTGGAGATGAAATGGTAGAGAAGAGGAGAACGTTGAAAAAAAGAGGATGATGATGAAGAGAAGAGAGGATGCCCGAAAGAGAAATGGATAAAAATGTGTAGAGAGTCGGTAGAGAGAATGGAGAGAGGCGTGAGAAGAGGGAAGTGAGAGGTAGGGGTATATTTATATTAGCCTACACAAGGTGTAGGCCCTTGTATACAAATAGTATTTTTTAATTATATACTTATGCATTAATATTATAGAGGTAAAGAGGGTAAAGTGCATACCCTCTCCGTCCCATTTTACCTGTCTTACTTTCCTTTTTGGGTTGTCCCAAAATAAGTGTCACATTTCCCTTTTTGGAAAGAAATATGTGGTTCACAACATTTCACTTTATATACTCAAATCTCAATCAAGGTAGTCAAAGTCATGAGGCGCATTCAAGGCGATAGGGTATTCCTAGCGCCTGAGGCGCAAGGCGCAAAAAAGCGCTCGCCTGACTCGTGTCAGGCGCATTGCTTAGAAAGTATCACATATACTCTTCTTCAATAATAAAACATGATGTATATAACACCATATTGAACTAATTACATAAAAAAGTCAGGTTTCTCACAAAAAGAGTCATGTTTCACCAAAATAAAGTCATGATTAACCAAAAAAGTTCATGATTCACAAAAGTAAAACAACCAAATTCAGAATTCATAGCTTAAAGTCTTAAACTTTCAAACTGAAAAATAAAACATAATTAGATTTTAGGTATCTAGAGTAATAGAGTATAAACTATATAAGAAGGATGCTGAAAAAGTAAAGAACAAAGAAAATGGCACATGAAGAGTGTTCTTGCACATGACCAACCATTATACTGGTAGTTTACATATATATTTTTGAGTTGTATAAAGTATATAAGTAGTAGATACTGAAAAAAGAAAAAAGAAAAAAGAAAAAAGAAAGAAAATAGAACGATGGAGAAGAAAGCTTACTGCTGCCAACTTCTGCAGTTGATGTGGAGGACAGGAGGAGGAGCGAATAGGTATATTTTGACAGGTGTGTGTTTAGCGTAGGTGTGTTGTTTAGCGTAGGTATATTTTGTTTTGACCTTATTTAGACGGGCTTTATTAAAAATATGGGCTTCTTATTAAACTTAAAAAACGTGTTCCCCTATCAGGCACAAACAGCGAGCGCTTTTTATTGCAGTTGCGCTTCAGCACTTTTGCGCCTAAGCTGCGCCTTAGGCGGGGGGGGGGGGGGGTGCGCCTGATCATTCTTCAAGCGCTGAGGCTTCTGTGCGCTGCGCCTGGTGTGCTTAAGCGCCCAGGCGCTCGACTTTGACTACCTTGATCTCAACCACGACTTTTACCTTTTCAATCACTTCATTAAAAATTGTGCCAAAACCAAATGAGACACATAAAATGGGACAGAGGTAGTATTAATGTATTATATATGAATAAGAGTCATGGCTCCCATCATATCTTGCCAGACCCGATAAAAGTATATTAAACCCGTAATTTATGGATTTGGACTGCATACTGAGTATAATTAACGTAGTGCATTTTTGTGCTTAAGATTTGATAATGTTTTTTAAAGACCGACCTGGCATGAAGAAATATTTTTTACCATTAGGTTTATTTATTTTGCAATGGAGCCAAAGATTCATTATTTTTTGGCTTGAGAATATGATGGAATAAAGCAAAATGGCTCACTAAATTGTCTGTGCTTCTTTGTTATGAAACAGCAGTCAGTCCATGCAATTTTGGACGCGATTTTCACTATGGGTCATCCGGAAACAGTCTCTTTGTGCTTTATTACAGGGGTAAGACTGTGTACATCCGACCCCCCCTTACCCCATCGTAGGTGGGAGCCTTTGCGGCACTGGGGTAAATGAAAATGAAAATGAAATGAGGTTTATTTATTTTATAAAATAGAGGGATCTAGCCATTTGAACCAGATAGTAACCTCTTTGGGGATTTCATAGGCATCAATGATTTATCTCATGATATTTAATTCTGGATTATGTACAACGGATATGTATAACAGATTCGTGGACTTTTGAATTGGTAGACAATAGGGGGGTTTGAAGAATATTTCTGTGTAAGAAATTGGAAGCATGCAGTGCAGCATGTTAGAAGTTATTCTGAGTTTTAATTGTTCTCTGTCTTGGCTCTTGAGAGATTGTTTTTAGCATTAAACTATTAGAGTAATTCAAATTCAGTTTTTGGGCTTCCAGTTAAGATAAAAAATGGTTTGTAATTATCAACTGAAGAATAAATTAGCAAACTACTTTGTAGTTTCTATCGTAGTCTCAATTGTCATCCTTCTATGTCAAAATTGAGTTCTCTGCACCATCCTTGGTGATTCTTTCCCCACTGCTTTCTCATGGTTTACTCTTATTTTGCTTTTTTCCTTCACCAGATACACATTATTGTAGCTGAAAAGCCATTTATCCGGGACAAAACTATACTTTTCTAATGGATGTATTTGTTCTATTCCATTTCTACCTGTTGAATAATTAGGACCAGGTCAATTAGTTATAAAATTTAAATGCTGGCTAAAAGATGTAGTAGTTGAAGTTAAACATTTAGCAGTGCTTATATATTTCAGTTTAGGTAGGTATGCAAATCAAATTGACCAATAGTGTCAAACTTGAGATCCTACCTGGGAATGGGTTAGGGCTGATTGGCCGAAAGATCCTGACTTGGAGCCTTGGAGGATTGTAACACGGATCATCACTCATCAGATGTTGGCTAAAATAGAATATATATGTATTGACATAGATTTCAAACTTCTAAATTTGAAATTGCATAATCGTAACTAACAGGATCAAATGCACAGTATTTTAATTAAGTTTCGATTGCATGTAATTTTATTCTGAAACAAATATAATTATTAAACTAAATTACTAAACCAGAAATATTGAATTGGCTAGTTCAAATTCAAATGTTAATCAAAATCAAGGGAAGTAAAAATAAGCTTAAGAAAAAAACAGCCAAAAGAATCACACTGAGGAAGAACAAATAGTAATGGCTAACTTGAGCACACATCATATCTGTTGAAACATAACAAGTTGGTTAGCGTAGAAGATGGAAATATACAACGAATGTGAATTTGTGTTTTGGTTGAGATTTTTTTGAAATCCTAACTCAGGTTTAGAACCCAATACCTCCTTTTTAATTAATAAATTTTTACATGCATTCTTCAAACCATGGAGTCACCTTTCATGCATTCTTCAAGAGATTGCCAAGTACACAGAAATACAAGTACCAGAAACTAATTTGGGAACAAAGTCGCTATTACGAAACAATAAGAATCCCACATGAATAGCAATCTTGGACTAATATGGAAATATACAAGAACTAATATTGAATAACTAACATGAAATTGAGAAAACAACGCCACATTGACCACTACCAGTACCACTAAGAGTGTATTACAGCACATCTTTATCTTTTGTTTTACTTGGCACAAGTTATGAAATCCTTTTTGTTTCCTTTTGTTTTTTTTCTTGGAGTATTCTACTTGAGTATGTGCATTCATGTTACTAGTTAGGCATTGATGCTGCAGGTTTGGTGGCCATGAGTATTCAGCTGGTTATGAGCGTGAAATGGGAGGTAGGGACGGATATCCCAATGAGAGGCACCATGGTCGATATACTAGCCGTTCATCTGGTGGGCACCAAGGTGAATATCTCATATCTGTGATGTTTTGTTTGAAGTGCTTTTCTCTTTTTGAAATATGTGATGTGCTTCTTATCCTTCTTTTTGTGAATTGTGATGGGTTCATTAGTTACTCGGAAATGTCATGGATTTGGAAACACATTCGTGGGAAAGTCTTTTTCAGAAGTAGTGTCAATAAAATTCATTTTAGAACTTTAGTTTTTTTTATCCCTTGCAAATATGCATCAGAGTGCTCAGACATGTCATTATTAAAGAGTTGCATAGTTTCAGAGCACTGTGCGTAAGAGATATAATTGAAATCAAACCAAATCCATGAGCTCATCAATTAATATCATCACCGCCCTTTTAATCCAACTATGTTAGGATAGGTAATTTGTAGGATCAATTTAGTTAATATCATTTCTATAAATGCATTCAAAAAGCATATTGATAGTCTGATGTCGGCTGTCATTCCTTTTGCAGCCTTCAACCTTCTTAATGACATAAAAATTAGAATGAGGTGAAATTTCAAAACTGTCATGGCCATGTTTTTTCACTTCCATGAAAAGTATCATGACGTGTTGATCGGTTAAAATTCTTGGTATAGGCATGCCTGTTGCAATATTGATGTAGGAAAAGTCACGAGTAAAAAACCAATACATGTTTTTTGGTCATTTGGACCGTTGTTAGATTAGAGTAGCCTTAGCGTGTTGATGTTATCATGCAAAACCAGTTTTCTCGCTGAATCTTTCTGTTGTTGACAACAATGTATCAAAACTCGAACTAGTAATGGTTTCAACTAATCCTAGTTCCCTTAATGGTCACCCTGTGGGGTAACTTATGTGAGAAGTGAATGGCAAAAGTTTGAAAAATACACCTTGACATAAGTTGTATTATTGGGCCACAACTTAGTAAACTCTGGACAACATGTTGGCCTTTTAAGGATAATTGTAGGAGAACGCTTAGTGCTTATCTTAAAAAAGAATACCTTACTCATTTATTCCTATATATTATGGATGACTTACAAAGAAACAATATGGCATTGTTATGGTCTTGTGGACTTGTGGAGTACAAGCTGTTTGCTGCTTTTCTTATTTGCATGCTTGAAGTTTGAATATTTTCTTTTTCACGTATGCTTCTTCTATTCACTGTTTTCTGAATGGGAATCCTGAAACTATACATGAAAGGTTTGTAAAGCAGTATCATGTTTTCCATTAAAAACCCATTATTTTTCAATATATTTTGAGTGAGGTCAGTTGATTCTTTGATGTTCCCTACGCTTCGTACTAATTATAATCTAAACTGCAATGGAGAACCTATAGTTAAGGACATCTTTGTAGTGCATTAATTTTCTATGGTTCTATCTTGAGTTTGTATCGGAACTTCTGTAATAACTTCTTTGTTTTCGTTCAAGACTGGGATTCTGGCCGTGGTGGAATTGGTGATGCGTTTGTATCAGGGAGCACCCAAAGGTATTGATGTTCCCTTTTCATGCAAATGACAAACAATAAACTCATAGTCTTATATAGACTTGCCTGGTACTAATTAATGCTTTATATTAGCAAAACCTATACTTAGAAAACCTATACTTAGAAACCTATACTCATAGTTTTTTTTTTAGAAAACTATATTCAATGTATTGTATGAAACAGTTACCGTGACGGATTTACATGCTAGTTTGGCTTAAAGTTATTTTTAAGACTATCTGCTTGTCTAATGTATTTTCCCTTTTCTCGAATAGTTATTAGACTTTGGGTAGGTAAGTTTTGTATTCCTTTGTCTTTCCACCACCATTCTTTGGCTCTGAGAAAATATCACTTGCCTTTCTGAAGTAATGCTCTTAAATAGTGCTGCTCATCAGTTCATTTTCTTCAAATTCAATTTTTCTTCTTCCTACTTGCTTCTCTAGAGGCATCTTTTGTTGCTGACGAGCCTGAATAGCTGGTCATCATTTCCACCTTCACGTGCCTACCGTTGCAGCGGCTCCAACAGACACGTGCCAGTGCATAAGCATAACTCTTTCCTATTGATCTAGTTCATTATGAAATTCTGATTGAAATCTTCCATGTATTGTCCGAGTTAAGAGCTAAGCTGATCCCAACATTATCAAGAATGATCCTCTGAGTAAAATTTTAGTTCCCTGAACAAGAAGTTGAAGATCAACATAACTAGGGAGGATGTAGAGATTCAAGGTGAAAGAAATGATTAGGAGAGGGTGGATACTCAACTGGACAGCCTCAATTGCTCAAGCCTTGTTTTGAAGTATTCAAACAAGCTAGGTGTTGTACAACGTACACTAGCGACACATGTCTTAGTACTATTTCGTTGTGATTTGTAAAAAAAATGTTGAATCCAAAGAAAATCAACTTGCTAGAATTCCAAGGGCAAGTGATAAACTGTAATAAACTCACAGAACAACTAGCTCAAAGGGATAAGTTCATTGTGATAATTTTTCATGTTATTCTTGGATGTGAATATGTTCAAGTTTGACATGGAGTAGCTGCTGCAAACTCTCTACCAAATACCACAAAATCTTTTAGGAGACTGTTTTGAACCTCCTTGGTTTAAAAGAAATTAATGATTTCGATCATTCGGGTCTTTCTTTTCGACCTAACCAGTAACAACAGGAGAGGATGAGGCATGTTAGGTAGTCAAGGAAGAGGTCAGTGAAGATGTATTGCAATTTTTTTCATAAGTGAAGGACAACATCACAACATAGGAAATGGTCAAACTTCATGGAAAACCCTTGCCACAGTTTCTGTGAAGTTTAAGTCAGAGAACTCAAAGGCTGAAGACTAGAGCATGCAAGCAATCTCAAAAGTCTGTTTTGTGGATTCTCTTCAATTAAAGGATGCAAGAACTTTCATTTCTTCCAAACTCATTCATTTTCAGATGCAATCACATTTTCTTGTTGATGCTCTCAAATATCACCATTCTTTTACTTGGAGCCTCTTTGGTAATGCTGAAATTAGCTGAATCTATTGAAAATGCTGAAATTATGGCTGAAATAGCTGCATCTTCTGAAGTATGAAAAAATAAAAAATAAAATTAGTAAGGAACTAGAGAAAAAATGATTATAAAAAACTAAAATAGTCCTCTTTAGCAAATTGAGGAACTCCACTCTTACTTTTTTATTATTATTATATAATCTAACATGAAATCAAAAGCTAAGTGTGTGGTAAAAAAGTTTTGTGATAAGCTGAAAAACTGGGTTACTAAACGGGCTCTTGATTAGGCTATTTATTTGTAGTAAGAAATTGGGGATGTTATCCGGCTAAACTTAATCAGTTTCTCATCCTCTCATTTTTTTTAAAATGTTTGTTTTAGAATAAAAATAATATTTGTTGACTTGATAGTTTGGAATTTACTTGCTCCACGGCTTGCTATGCAGAGAAGGATTGAAGTCTTATAAGCAGTTCATTCAGGAACTTGAAGATGATATCCTACCCGCAGAAGCTGAACGCAGGTCGTAATTAGTGTTCCTTTTTGCTCTAGTTTTTTTATTATTTTGTTTTATGCCATTAATGATCCACACTTTTGTTGTTCCATATATATATATATATATATATATATATATAGGGAAAATAATTAAAATAATCTAAACTTTAAAGAGGTGTGAGGTAAGCACCCCAAACTTGCATATGTAATTTAAATACCCCAAACTTTATATAAATAGTTATTTTAGCACCTAGTCATGTATTTTTTTCCTTAAATGTCAATTTTTTGTGTTAAATTCATAATTTAAAATACTTTAGCATTCATGAAGATACAATTAACATTCTAAACTTCCATTATAAAATAAATAGTATTAACCCCCACTCTATATAATTGCAAAGTTTTCAATTTGATATTTTAAATTATGCAATTAACATCATAAATCCACATTTTTGAAAGAAATGAAACATGACCATGGTGTTCAAATAACATTTTATATAAAAATTGGGGTATTTAAATTACATATGCAAGTTTGGGGTGCTTATCTCACACCCCTTCATAGTTTGGGGTATTTTAATTATTTTTCCCTATATATATGATTTCTAACTATAAGCAGGGGCGGAGCTAGGGGGTGGCCACCCCTGGCCCTGGCCCAGCCCAAATTTTAAAAATCTCTATATTTTTAGTGTAAAAAATTCCGTGTGAAATTTTTTCCAAAAATATTCTTTGTACCGGCCCAGTGTCCTGCCTCCGCCCCTGACTATAAGTACTTGCTTTCTTGAACAATTGTGTGGACGTGTTCTATATTTTATGCAGGTATCAAGAGTACAAGTCAGGATATATAGAGGCCCAAAAGCGATCTTATTTTGATGCACATAAGGATGAAGATTGGTAACTATGAACTTATCTTACCACATTTTTTTTTTCAGTTCATCTTTTGCTTCAAATTTTATGATAGTTACTTGTATACTCAGGTTGAAGGACAAATACCATCCTACGAACCTTGTTACTGTTATAGAAAGGTATGTCATGTTCTGTGTTTGTTAAGAGTTTACCATAATGCAGAAGACATTCTTTTTGCATAGGTAGTGGTTTCCATTTGCAATTGCTTATGCAGTTATGCGTGTAATATTTTTTGTAATAATTACTCTTTCCTTCTCTTTGTGGTCTTCTCAGGAGGAATGAGCAAGCACGGAAATTGGCAAAAGATTTCATTCTTGATCTACAGAGTGGAACATTGGATATGTAAGAAGTTATTTCATCTTGGGGATCTGTTGGAATAAAAACATCTTTATCTATTCATTGTTGTTTTGTTTACTAAAACAATACATTTTTGCATGTGAAATAGAGGTCCTGGTGTTACCTCCACGGCAAATAAACCAGGACCGTCTAGTGAGCTTAATTCTGATGATGAAGCAGATGTCAATGACAAAAGAAGACGTTATGGAAGGGGGCCAACCAAAGACGCTAAACTACTTTCAACTGCTCCAAAGGCTCACCCTGTGAGTTGTGAGCCGAGACGAACTCATACCGATGTTGAGCAGGCTCAAGCACTTGTCAGAAAGCTTGATGCAGAGAAAGGAATCGAGGACAACATATTATCTCGGTCTGATACTGATAGAGGGATCAGGGATAAGTCTCATGCAGTTTCTTTTGGTCCTGTTGTTATAGTAAGGGGCTTATCATCAGTTAAAGGTCTTGAGGGTATTGAACTTCTGGATACCCTTTTAACTTATCTCTGGCGCATTCATGGAGTAGATTACTATGGTGTGACTGAAACAAATGAAGTGAAGGGCCTCAGACATGTGAGATTCGAAGGGAAGACTTCTGATTCTAATAGTAATGGTGCTGAATGGGAAAGTAAACTAGACTCACACTGGCAATCAAGACTGCAGGGGCAGGATCCTCTGGAGGTCATGACAGCGAAGGAGAAGATCGATACAGCTGCTGTTGAAGCTTTAGATCCATATATAAGGAAAATTAAAGATGAGAAGTATGGGTGGAAGTATGGCTGTGGAGCCAAGGGTTGTACAAAGCTTTTTCATGCTTCTGAGTTTGTTAATAAACACTTAAAGTTAAAGCACCCAGACTTGGTATTGGAGTTGACTTCTAAAGTGCGTGAAGATTTGTACTTTCAGAATTATATGAGGTAAGTGCAAGCACATTGTGCAATTTATCCTCTATCTCTTCCCCACAAAGCTGACTACAATTTTCAATTATGGCAGTGATGAAAATGCACCCGGGGGGACTCCTGTTATGCTGCCATCTCTACCGGTATGTTGTGCATATAATGTACTAGAATCTTGCTTTGTGTCATACATATTTTCTTGTGACTGATCTTGGTAGTTGGAAATAATGCAGCTAAACCTTGTTTCTCTAGTCTCTTTGTGACTAGATTTACTTGAGGGTTTGCTGAAAAAATCACGAGCTAATTTCGAGGGGCAGTGTTTTTTAAAAATGTAAATGGGTATTGAGGTGTCTTCGTTCAACTAGACGTGGTTTTAGCTCGAGGTGTGGGTTATCAAAAATGAAAAGACATTGCTTGGTGTGTTGCACTTTGCAGAAAGGGGTGCAGCAGAAGGAACTCGATTCCCTGGAGCTGCTCAAAGTCTTCAGTTTTTCCCTTTCCAACACAAATATTAACTTTATCCCTGCCTCACAGGCCACAACCTGTGCTATCTAAATACCTAAGCAGCAGTTTTAAAAACGTTTTAAAATTACACTTGAGAAATTTGAAGTCACTAAAATCACACACTTAAAGCCTGCACCGCAGCTCCCCCAATGCACCTCAATTCAAGCCTCTCAACTCTGAGGGACACACCTTAGGTTTTCTGCTGAATTTCTCCCTCCACTGAATTGTATCTAAGGCCGCATTATAAAATGAGGGTGTCCATTGTCCAAGTTAAATACAATAACCAAGGCTTGCGCTAATACAACAACATCATCCAAGCCTTATTCCCAATAGATTTTTGGGTCAGCTAACAGCCTAACATGAATCGGTCCAAGATATCAGAGCCAAAAAGAGAAAAAAGATAAGGTAAGATAAAATAGATTACATAAAAATAACATAAGAACATAAGGAAGATAGAAGATAGAAAGATAAAAGAACATAAGAAAGATAAAAGATAAAAATAACATAAGAACATAGAAAGATAAGGAAGATAAAAGATAAAAGAAAAAGGAGAGAGAAAAGAGATCAATCGTTCACACGAATATAAGAACTAAATCCCAATGCTAATAGTCTAATTAAGAATAAGTAGTTGACTTGAACAAGTATCAACTAATAGTTTTCAACTAACCTATCTATCTAATTCTAATGAAATAAGACTTCTTCAAGTCATCACTTTTCCTTGATAACTGTTTCTCTACAGTTTGTTTGCTTCTGCAAAAATATCCTCTGTTGTGGATTAAATCAACATCTGTAACCCTTGGGAATGGTGTGGCCTTGTGCAGGAATGTATTAAGCTGTTGCATGCTTGTTTATTTCATTGACTTTTTTGCAATATATTTCGAAAACTTGCTTGGGTCCTGATAACCTTATTGGTGGTTTAGTTAATTTTTTTCTAACTCGTATATAGTTTCATTTTCCATATTAATTGAAGTGCTTATATTTTGCAGAAAGAGAGGCTACAGAGACGCAGACCTGGTCTAGAGGGCCGACTGAAGGATGATAGAGGTGGGCGCAGAGATCGCTCTAATGAAAGATTTGACAGGAATGACAGCTCACAGCTGGCAGATTTCCAGTCCAACAATGATGGTGGGACTAATCCTGATGAACAAATGTATGATAGCTTTGGTGGACAAGGAATTCCTGTTGCTGGTTTCCCTTCTGACATAGTTCCTCCCCCTGTGCTGATGCCTGTTCCTGGGGCTGGGTAATTTTGAGTCCCTTTTCTGGCTTTCTAGTAAATATGTTTTCTCTAGTCAATTTATTTGTGTCTCCATGTTATAATAATTTTTATAATGTTTTTTCCAGTCCATTGGGGCCTTTTGTTCCAGCACCACCGGAAGTTGCAATGCAGATGTTTCGAGAACAAGGTGGTGCTGCTTCCTTTGAAGGCAGTAGAAATGGCAGGTCAGGTCAACATATGAATGGGTCTGCCCCAATCATTGCTTTACCTCCTAGACTTCGACAGGATCCTAGGCGCCTAAGAAGGTAAGTTTTTTTTTGGGCGGTGAGGGCAGCGTGTTAGTCGTAATACATGTACATAATGGTGATACTTTTAAGTTATAAATTACCTAATATAGATGGTGACATGAAATATATCTAGCAAGATATAAACAATACACAGTTGCACACACACACACACACCATATTTCCCAAAATCCCAATTTGATTTGGGACACTTGTTAAGAAAATAAATGTTTGGCTGTGTTTGATGTAAAAAGGAGAGGAACAATACCAACCACACAAATCTTTCCTTAAGGAAATCATAATTCTTTTTGGGACATCTCAAAAAGAAAAGTTGGAAGAACATTATGGGAAAAAGGTGGTAGTAGATGTTAGGTATTGGGTAATTCAATCAGTAATTCTGAGCTCAAAATTGGTGAAGAAGATCGAAAGCAGAAGTTTATTGATTAAACTGAGATATACGAATACAATTCCCAAGTCGTAACAAGGTTCCGACTCCCAGTCCCAAGTCCCAAGCCTAAGATAATTCCAACCTCCCCTTTCCATTCCCCACTCACCTTATTTATTCATTCTCTAATGGGCCAGCGCACCTCTACTTAGTTATAAGGCCTAAACCATTTTTATTACAAAATATTAAAAGACTTAATAATGTTCTTAGGTCTCTATCATCACTCCCCCCTTTGACAAGCACCTTGTCCTCAAGGTGGGTCATGGGAGGCAGTTCTAATGAACAGCTTCTTCCTCATCTTTGCGCCTCGTCCATCCCAGTATCTTCCAAATTTCAGGACCCTGAACTTCATGAACTGAACCATTTCCATTACTTTTTCCATAGCAAGCAGCTGAGGCAAGTGCATTGTTACATGATACTTCATTAAAACCTGGCCAACTCCCAGTGCTTCAACCCCTATAGAACCATTCTCATTGGGCAGTTCCTCAATAATAGCAGAAACAACTGGCTGCCACTCCTCCTGGAAGTAGATACCTACAATTCTGGGTATTTCATAGAGGTTTTCTGCACCAGACTCTTCAGAATACGTCATGGCTTGGACATTCCATTTGCCTTCAGTATCAAGAATGAGGAAACCATATCCATTAACTGAATCCTTGGCCATAAAACTCAGGGTACAATTGATGAAGTTTCTGAAATCACTTGGTGATCCACTATTTGATTTTACCTCATTTCCAATGACTCCAACACCTTTTCTTTTTGAATCATTTCTTGCTTCATAGTACAAGTGTTCTGGGTTGATAGTTTTCATAACATTCAAGTTTTCCTCCATTCCCAGTAGGCTGGCTGGGACTATTATTGTATGAAAAGGCTCCTTGTTCATGCCCATACATTGGAAGAGATCCACATTCCTAGGATTCTTCCTCCCTTTATCCCATTCATCTCTGTAACCTGAAATGATTGACCAACACCCCATTGTTGTATCAAACCATATATAGTAATTCTTGTCACTGTATTTCTCATGCAGAACTGGAACCTCCCCTTTCAAATCTATAGTGACACAGCCTGGTTTTAGTTCTCCACTTAGCCCTGCCTGTGTTGTGAGAGTAGTCTTCTGATTCCATCCACCATCCAGTAGCATGCTTTTTGCAAAGCTCTCTAGTTTATTTTTCCAAAAAGGAAGCTCAAGGCGCAAATAGTTTGTATCACTAATGAGTGGAGTAGTTTGACAAACCAGAATAAGTTTGAGAAGAAGGATTTCCAGATTCTTAAAAGCGGAGACCTCATCGAATTCCTTTACTTTTTGAACTTTTCCTTCAACTATGCTGTTAAGAACAAACTCATCAATCCATCTCAGTCCAGAATCAGAGGAACCCAAACTTGCAGACAGCATCAACTTGCAGCCCTTAATTGCCATCCCAGATTTGACATTGAAGTGAGTGAGGACTGATCCTTCAATTGCACAATTTTGTGGATCATTCTGCCCCAGTAGTCTTGCTAAAGTACCCTGGAATATTACCACATCTGTACCCTCAATGACTTGGTGACTTGGTGCTGGTTGTCAATATCAGCAACAAAATTCTCCATCCAGATCCTACAAACAATTGTGCTCAACACCCTATCATCTTCCCCCTCCTTATCTCTTTTACTGAGTATTTTGAGCCTTGGACCCGTGCTTGCCATGTGAACCCTGTAATCAAAACCTACACTTCTATCTTGAACAGGTATACAATATACTGGTATTTCCCTAAAACTTTCACCCATGAATAATGCATCAGGTACTAGACCAGGAATAAGATCATTGTCAACCCTTACGAACATCTCAGCATTATCATTATCATCAGTATCATAGTCACCCTTTTCCCTCCAATTCCCAATAATTCCTCCTTTCAACCCATTTTGATTATCCATCCTTGAAGTAACACCCTCACATATGAATCTATCAAACTGGTTCACTGACTTTAACCCTTCCAAAGTAATGTTTACTGAATGACAGTACACCATTTCAGACCTTAACACATTAGGCAAGTTCATCTCCTGTACCAACCTAGAAGTCATTTTGGACTTGGCCACACAAGCAGCAGTATCACGTACCTGAAGAATCTTGAGATTATTGGTTCTTGAGTCTGACTTGATGGACTCGTACTTGATAAAACTAGCAATTGCTCCATCTTCCCGTCCAATGGTCACTGGCGAATTCTCCTCGCTCTCATCATCTCCCTCTGTGACTTTCTCTGCCCTGGGTGATGAAGAATAGGCTCCCGAAGAAGTCTGAGAACTGGAAACATCAACTCCAGATGAAACTTCCAAACTGCTAAAAAATGTTAGCGAGGAATCCTGTGATATAATCTGCGAAGACACCTGCGAACTGGGGGCATCAACTTCGAATTGCGAACTGGGGACATCAACTTCAAATTGCGAACTGGGGGCTGATCGCGTCGCACTTTGATGTGAACTGTGAGAAGTTCTTTTCGATCGTGATAATTCCCGGTTTTCTGTCTTCCGCCTGCGTGTAGGTTGGAAACTCCGAATTGTTGCTTCCTTTAGAACTTCCCAATTTTTTTCTCTCATTCCAATTTCCCACAATTGAAACCAATTGTACGCTATTTCCTCCATTGCTTCTTCTGCGACTCTAACCTTGTATTTTTCAGCAGTACCGTTGATTCTGAAGTATCGCTCCATACTCATTATCCATCTGTGCGGGTCATCTCCTTTGAATACAGGTAAATCTTGTGATTCCTCTGGACTGGCGTAATTTCTTGCATTCCTAAGGTGCGAAGTGGAATGCGAACTGTGAGAAGAAGTGCCCGACTCTTACCTCCGGCTTCATTGTGACTCTTCCGCACTTCATCGCGAGTCTTCTGCACTTCGTCGCGAGTCTTCCCCATCTCCTTGCGGTTTTGTTCCAATTTGCGCAAACCAGATGCGGCCAGTTCTGACCGTAGATGTTCTTCTCGTAAACCATAGCGCATCTCCTCGCGCGACTGACTATCTTTCCAGTTCACGATTAGCTCGCGTAACTCATCGCGAAACTGCCAGGCTTCTTCGCGCATTGTTTTGCGATTCTTCTCCAGCGCGCGTTTAAAATTTTCCAGCCTAGCTTCCATCGTTCCTCTGGTGGCGATCAGCCGATCATGAACAGGTATTTCAATCAGTAATTCTGAGCTCAAAATTGGTGAAGAAGATCGAAAGCAGAAGTTTATTGATTAAACTGAGATATACGATTACAATTCCCAAGTCGTAACAAGGTTCCGACTCCCAGTCCCAAGTCCCAAGCCTAAGATAATTCCAACCTCCCCTTTCCATTCCCCACTCACCTTATTTATTCATTCTCTAATGGGCCAGCGCACCTCTACTTAGTTATAAGGCCTAAACCCTTTTTATTACAAAATATTAAAAGACTTAATAATGTTCTTAGGTCTCTATCAGTAGATATAAGTAATATAACCACTACATGTATCTATTAAAAATTACAAAAATTAAGAGGAAGTGGTAATTGCAACTGTGCAAGGAGAGATTGCTATTATCAATATATCATGTGTTTAAGCTGCATAAGAGTGCTTACTGTTCTTAAAGTTACGTGATGGGTGGTTGGAATGACAGTATCCTCTTAACCACTCTATTCCCTTACAATCACAAAGAAGTCAAGGCACCATTAGAAGTGGATCAATTTTTTGAGGTGTATGTATCTTGAAGCTTGATGGCGGTGACGGCAGGGTTTAGATATTCTGCGCAAAGCTTCTCTTGAAGCTTTTAAGTAAATATAAGAGGATTGGAAGCTATTTGGTAGTGCTTCTAAAGTTATAATTGCTAAATTGTTTTCCTGTTATATTCTGGAAGGCTACACAAGGCCTCTCAAAGATTTGAAATGGGAAGAATGAGAACTGGAAGAAGGGTTTTCCTTGTTAGTGTATTCAATAAATAGTCGAGGACCGATATGGCCAACGGGTTTGGTTGACATGTCAGCCATTAAAATGCACCTCTTGGCACACACTACTTACTTAATTGATAATGCTAACTGTCTTGAGAAATCATCTGAAGTTTATGTTAGGCATTTTCAGCTCGCATTTGCGGTTTATATTTATTCCATACTAACATCAGTTTGACATTTTATAGCTATCAAGATCTTGATGCACCAGAAGATGAAGTCACTGTGATAGATTACAGGAGCTTGTAGTCATCATGAACAGTTGGAGATGACGAGAGTGGGAAAACCACTGTTTTAGTCCCTCACTTACGAATTAGTTATACACGATAGTCCTTTGTCAATTTATTCATGCAATTTAGCCTCTCAATTGCTCTGAAGTGTCGCCAGGGTTAGTCCACTCAATTGTTCAAAAGATGGACTTGATTGATGACATTCGTGAACAATTGAAGGGCTAAAGTGTGTGTAAATTGACTATCAAGGACCATTACCTAATGCGCAAGAGTTGGAGGATCAAAATGCTGATTTTCTCAGAGAGATTTGTACGTGGAGAGTGGGCAAAAACTGAATGGAGATGACTTTTGGCGTAGTCTACACCCTTCATCGGAGATGATTATAGTTTTTCTTGGCATTAACGCGGCGTTTGGCCAATTATCAATGTACTATTATATACTCCATTTTGATTGATTGCATATTTGTAAGTTGAGATTCTTATTTTGAAATTAAAAACTGTACCATTGATTAGACTCGTTATGTTTATAGGTCTGAGATGTCTCTTGAAAAATCTCTGGATCCTTTGTTCCCTCTGCGGCAGGAACACCATGACACCATCTACACATTGAGTTTTGTTATTTTAAAGATTTGTTTTTATGCGTTCCATTATTATGAAGGAAAAGTCCACACAATCTCAACTAGGGCTGGACTCGGGCTAGGCCCGGTCGGGCCAGCGGTTATGAAATGGGGGCCCTGGAACCGGCCCGGGTAATCCCCGGGTCGTGCCGGGCCGGGCCTCAGGTATTTGTTGTTTTTTTCTTTTCCTAGTTACCCCCCCCCCCCCCCCAAACCACCCCAAATGGCCCAAAGTACCCAGCCCCAATTGAAAAGTAAAAAAATTGAAAAAAAAAATTAAAAAGGCCCGGAATCGGGCCCGAACCGGCCGGGCCAGTTCAGGATTTGGGGGACCCGAGCCCGGACTGGAACCCTCGCGGGTCGGGCTTACCTGGACCGGTCACTGAATGGGCCACCGGGTTGGGTTGGAACTAGGGGTGGACTCAGGCCGGGCAGCCCGACCCGGAACCGGCCTGGCCCGGTTACTGTTTGGCCCGGCCCGGGTGATGGGCCCGGTCCGGGCCGGAATTTAATTATTTTTTTTTTGATTTTTTTTTAAATTTTGGGTTGGATTAGGTATTTTGGGCCATTTGAGGTGGTTTGGGGTTGAGGGGGAGGGGTAGGGGGTTAAATAGGAGAACCAAAAAAAAATGGACCGGTTTGGCCCGGCTCGGCCCGGTTTGGCCCGGAATGATGGAACAACCAGTGTCTTCCCAAGACTTCTTAACAATTACAACATACTCATCAGCACGCTTTTTTGCTCTTGGAATAAGTTTAGTCCTTAAAGTTGAGTAGCTGGGCAATTTATATGCAGGGCCATACTCGCCAATTCCTTTTACAAGATTGATGAATGACTTTTGTTGCACTACATTAAAAGAAATATTATTTTGAATGAAAAATGTAGCAAGCAAGTCATCTAACTCAGTCTTGTCAAGTTTTTTTACCATTTCAGGCATAGTACTTTGATACAATGAGGGCCGAGAAGACATACCTCCCCTTGTATTGAATCGACTCTCATCCTTTTGGAAGAGTTTTGGCTAATGGTTTGACACACTTGAGATCGTATCTCTGAAGAAACTTGTGTGCAAATCTCAATGTCATTGCCTTTTAATCCAGACAAATGAAACTTGAGTCTAGTTAGACCACCAGGAAAAACTCGCTGACAATGCCTGCATTCGAACTTTCCATTCATATCGTCAGCATGTATCCAGAGCGGATCCTTCTTTCTAACCATGGTTCTATAAAAAAAACATATGACAATAACATAATTACATATATGATAAATGTAGGATGGAAAAGTTTAAATTCTCAAATACTGAATTCTTAAAAATGTAATACTCCGTAATATTTATAAAAATATTAACAAACCCACTTTTAGATAAAATAAAATAATCATAATAAAATTTAAAACACAACACTCTAATTGGTTTATAGTTGTGTAAGAAGATTATAAAATGTACTCCCTCCGTCCCCTTTTAAATGTCCCGGAGGAGGGTGACACGGGTTTTAAGAAAAGTAGGTTTGTGTGGTTGATATTAATTGATAAAGTAAAAATAAAGTAAGAATGATTTTGAGCCACACAAACTTTACCAAATAAGGTATGAGACATTTAAATAGGGACATCCCAATATGATAAAACGGGACATTTAAAAGGGGACGGAGGGAGTATATACTGATTTAGTAAAACATGTTAAAAATAGGCCTGGACTCGGGCCGGGCGGACCGAACCGGGCCCGACCCGGCCCGCTCACTGTTCTAACCGGCCCGACCCGGTCAAACGGGCCCCAGGCGGTTCGGGCCTACCCGGCCCGGGTGCAGGGCGGTCCGGGCTCGGGCCTTTAATTTATTGAACCGGCCCGGCCGGGCCGGGCCCGGTCCGGGCCTAACGGCTAATTTTTTTTAAAAAAAAAAAATTTCTTTTTCAATTTTTTTTGGCCTTTGTAGCCGTTGGGGCTGTTTGGGAGCCTCCAAACGGCTCTATAGCCGTTGGAGGAGGGGTGGGGGGTGGGGGGTGGGGGGGTGGGGGTGGGGGGAGAAAAAAAAACCTATTTATACTCCTATTTTCTATACATTTTTTACATCTTCTCTAATTCTCTATTCTCTCAATCTCTAAAATCCTCATTCATCTTCATCTTCTATTCTTCTCCAATTTATCTCTACATATATATTATTTATATAAATATTATTATATCTACTTATATATTTATTATCTACTTATATATACATATATTACATTACTAATATTTATTATCTACTTAATATATATTTATTATCTTATAATTAGATACTTTACATATATATATATATATATATATATATATATATATATATATATATTATATAACTTATATTCCTTATCTACTTAATCTCTACTTATTATTAATTTATTATATCTACTTATATATTTATTATCTACTTAATAGTTAATATATATTTATTGTCTACTTAGTTAATATTTATTCATCATCAACCAATCGGCCAATCCACCAAGGTACTCTTCTCTTCTTTTATCCATTAATGGCGTTATATTCAAGTAGTTAATTTGTTGCATTATTCATTAAAGTGTACAAGTGGTAAATTTAGACATTTTAATTAAAGTATAAAACTAGTTAGTTTGTTGCATTTGTCATTTAAGTGTACACCTAGTAAATTTAGACATTTTAATTAAAGTATAAAACTAGTTAGTTTGTTGCATTTGTCATTTAAGTGTACACCTAGTAAATTTAGACATTTTAATTAAAGTATAAAACTAGTTAGTTTGTTGCATTTGTCATTTAAGTGTACACCTAGTAAATTTAGACATTTTAATTAAAGTATAAAACTAGTTAATTTGTTGCATTTGTATTTAAGTGTACACCTAGTAAATTTAGACATTTTAATTAAAGTATAAAACTAGTTAATTTGTTGCATTATTCATTAAAGTGTACAAGTGGTAAATTTAGACATTTTAATTAAAGTATAAAACTAGTTAAATTGTTGCATTTGTCATTTAAGTGTACACTTAGTAAATTTATACATATTAAAATATTTGATATACTTTTATATTTGTTAAGATGGAGCGCGGTAGACATTCTTTGGATATCGGAAATCTCCAACGCAACCGAAAGAAGGAGATTGCGAGAACTCATCCTAGTTTGCGCAAAAAAAGCGGGCAGTCCGGATCTTCTTCTCAAAGTGGATGGGAGGACGAACCGGAATACCAACGGCGAGATGGCGAAAGAATGTCCGACGAGCAACTACAACAACTATTGGCTCAAAATCCTCAATTTTTCCATCAACGAGACATCCCGGTCCTCCCGGACGATATTCACACCATTGACGAAGAAGAGCTCGAGGATGACGATCCGGAGGAGGACGCGGGGGGCGATGGGAGTCACGGCACCCCGGATGAGGAGCAAGCGGCGGACCACGAGGGTGGTTCATCCCAAATAGGTACGAAATCTAAATCTCCTATTATAGAAAATAATTTTAAAAAGTATAAAGACCCAAGCACCGAGAAATGGTACGCAAGTTGCAACCATTGCGATAAGGTGTACAGTTTGGGAACTTCGGGCGGATACGGGAGCCTCAAAAGGCATCTTATGGGCAAGCACAAGGTGGAGTACGCAAAAATTGAGAAAGGCAAGGGGAAGCAAACACAAATATCGAGGTTTGCAAATAACCAACCTTATGGTAATTTCTCATACAATGATCAACAAAATTTGACTGGTATGGCTAACTTTATAGTTGAAGAAAATTTACCTTATTTGTTTTCTGAAAGTGTTTCTTTTAAAGAGTATGCACAAACTTGTTTAAATCCTCAATTTCGAAGTTATAGTCGAAAAACGGTTAAAAAAGAAATTATAAGGCTTTATAAGGCGGAAAAGTTGAACTTACAAAATTTTTTTGCAAGCTATGATGGACGTGTTACTGTTTGTTCTGACATATGGGAGGACACCTATCATAATTTACATTATTTGGGTTTGACTGCACATTATGTAGATGTTGATTGGAATTTGCATAAACGTGTTCTTGCTTTTCGTGAATTTAATGATCGTCACACCGCCGAACATATTTATATTTTGATTGAGCGTATTTTAATTGAGTATAATTTGGTTGATAAGGTGTTTGCTATAGGTTTTGATAATGCTACTAATAATACTGCTGCTATACCTAGATTGCGTGAATTGTGTGGTTCTACTACTTTGATGGGTAGATTTTTTCATCAACGATGTGCATGCCATATAATAAATTTATGTGTGCAGGATGGTCTAAAAGCGTTGGGAGATGCTTTGGAGGTAGCGAAGGGGGGGATTAGACGTATTTGGGCTAATGGTCAACTTAAATTAAAATGGAAAAATTATTTGAATGAAAGAAATGTGAAATATGTTGCTTTTCCTAAAGATTTGTCTATTCGGTGGAATAGTTCTTATAAATTAATTAGAGTTCTTATTAGATATAAAGAACATTTTCCTGCTTTTTTAAAAGAATATGATAACTACATTTTAAACTCCGCTCACATCGACACTTGCGAAAAAATTTGTAATGTTTTGATATTTTTTAATAATGCAACTGAAAGTTTGAGTCATGTTTATAAACCTACTTCAAACGAATTTATGCGTGAACTTGTTAATCTCGCCGGTGCTTTTAATGAATTTCAAAATGCCGATTATGTGAGCTATTTTTGTACTTTTATGAAAGAAAAGTTTTTAAAATATTATGCACATATTCCACATATTTATGGTATTGCATTTATTCTCGATCCTCGTTTTCGACTTGGTAATTTGGAACAATGTTACAAGTTCTATTATCAATCTTTTTATGGTGATTTTCCAATGTATGAAGATAACCCTATAGATCCGCAATCTGAATACAACGAGGTTAGTAGTTTATTTTATTCTTTATTTAATGAGTTTCGTGCACAATATGGCAACGCGCCCCCTCCCCCAACCCAAACATCTTCGTCTAAAGGAAAAGGTTTTTTTAAATCTGCATTTGGCAATCTTATGAAAAAAGCTAAAACAACGCACACTACTGAACAAAGCACAATTAATGAGATTGCTTTGTATGCTAACTATGAGGTTGAGTTTGTAGAAAATGAAGAATTTGACGTCCTAAAGTGGTGGAAGTCAAAAGAAAGAACGTTCCCGATTTTGGCACGGATGGCTAAGCAAGTACTATCAATGCCGGTTTCAACAGTTGCCGTGGAACAAGAATTTAGTTCGGCCGGCAACGTCCTAACTAAATCGAGAACGTGTTTGAGTGCCGAATCTCTTGAAACGCTTATATGCTACCACGATTGGTTGAAGGCAAGACGTAGAACTCAAGAACTTAGCCTCATCCCCTCCCAAGACTTTATCGATGAATCAACCGATGGTGCTTCTACCTATGCCGGGGATTCCGATTGATTAGTATTTTACAATTTATTATTTTATCCTCAATTCTCTATTGTAATTTGTGAACTTGTAGATTTGTAGTTCATATTTCAAATCAATAAAAGTTAAATTTTTTTATATGTCGCATTTCTCAAATTAATCAAGTTACAACTTACATCAAATTAATTATATTATATTATTATTACTTAATAAAAAATGTATTAGAATTAATTGTTCTCAATTCTCAAAATGTACTTATTACTTATTTCACATAAATGTACTCCAAGATTCAAAGTAGATGTTAAGTTAAAAAATTATAAGTTAAAAAAAAAAAAAATATTCAAGGCCCGACCCGACCCGCCGGTTCACCCGGCCCGGGGCCCGGCCGGGTCACCCGGCCCGAACCGGCACCCGCCTACAGGCGGGCCGGGCCCGGGCCTTACATTTCCGAATCGAGGCCCGGCCGGGCCCGGGCCCGAACCGGGCCCGAGTCCAGGCCTAGTTAAAAATTAATAAAAATCTAAAACAAACTCAGGTTGACAAAGTAAATGTATGATGATAAAGTTATTTGCTCCTCATAATGTATGTTCTAGAACTTGCTAGACGCTAGTCTTGCGGTTGAGGGACGCCTAGCTCCTGTGCACTGACTAGGCGCCGAGTCACCTACTAGCCCGATTTTTAGCCAACTAGGTCAATTAGTCCTCCACAATTAGTTCCAAGTAATCAGACTGATTAGGCCGAATTTTAGAATAATGCTCATAATGTTTAAATTATTATTACCGTTTGAAATTAGATATTTCAAAACTAGAAAAAAGGTTTTATTCATTATTGAATCACATAACTGAAGCTTAATTGAATAAATAAAATTGACATCAAACCTCAAACATGAAAAAGTAGATTCGTTGATGAGATTAATGAGATAAAAAGTTAAAAAAATAGAGCAATCATGTGGCAATTTAAGCACTATGGAGTTTTTAAAAAACAATACTGAAAGTTAAAAGTTCATACTCGTATTTAAAAATTTAAATACCTAATACTCCGTATATGGAGATGAGTGAATTGAAAAATAATACATCAATCATGTGGCAGTTTAAGCACTATGGAGATTGAAAATTGCAATACGGAGTACGTACTACCTTGGAGCTTGCCGCCGCCTCTCCTGTGCTAGTCTGGTAGTGCTTTGGTCACCGTGCAAAGTGAATAGTTAAAACCTTAGGCTTTATTGGACAGCTGTACCACACTCGCATACCAATAGTCCAATACTCCGTATTAGATTACTAGCAGGGGCCGGGATTGTGGGCAGTAGTGGGAAAGGTATACACGAATAACACGATTTCAGCTATTTTCTAATTAAAATACGTATAAATACAATTAGTACGTGTATAATACGTTCAATCAGTAAAATACGCGAATTTTAACGTATTTTTGGAAAAAATACGTAAGCGGGTGATTTATACGTGTATTATACGTTTAAGCGTCGTGTATTATACGCGAATTAACTAACAAAGCCATTTAGTACATTACAGTGTACGTATTCATTAACAGCCAAAACTAAGGAATCCTAAGGTGTTAGCACATCGAAACTAACACTAAATTCCAACAAAGCTCTTGCATTTTTGGTTTAGAGTGCATATTATGCGTAGTACTTGGTATGAAATTAGTTTTTTAATTTAATACAATTCAAAGAATATTAAACTTTCTTATTAATATATTAAACAAACAATTGTAATTTAATAACTCCGTATAGTTCAAAGTACTCCATCCGTCCCAATATAAAGAGCACATTTTCTTTTTCAAACATTTTTAGGAGGAACACTGTTTGGACACTGTTTGACATTATTTTGCACTATTTGGCACTGTTTGCCAAAAAGGGAAATGTGCCTGATATATTGGGACGGCCCATAAAGGAATATGTGCCTTTTATATTGGGACGGAGGGAGTATATAATACAGAGTCAATCTAAACCAACTTTTTCAGTTCCACTAAACATAAAAACTGAACCGCCATTCTGAGCTATGGGTTTTGAAATACGCCCTTCGAAAACCGACTGTTTTGATTCAGGTTGAACTGGAACTCGGGCATGTCTAGATTGGGCCCACACCTGTTTGTCCACGATAAAAAAGTATGACACATCAACCCTGAGGGTCCCGATACTTGCAAATAATGAGTGGGGCTCTCACCCAAACACTTAGAAGTATATGCAATTTTACATAATAACCTCTGATTACAGTTTTGAGAATTCAAATCCGATACTTGTCCTTGTGGCACCCTTATGTACCCAGCTAAACAACACCCACGGGCCAATATTTTTGTTTCGAAGTAAGAGTCAATTGAGTACATCAACTTGTATGAGGTGGAGTAAAGAGTACACTAAATTGCATTTGATCTTTTTAGGTACACAAACTTGGTTTTTTAGTGTTAGTTGAGTACACCTGTTAGATTAACATATTAATATGTCTGAGTTGGCTAACAGAATGCTAATAAAATCAACTTTTTGAAGGTCGACGCCAACCCCCAACCCTTGACCTGACTTCCCCTTGGTCGACGTCAGTCCCCCGCAAGTCGACTCCCCTTGGTCGATGCACCCCTGCTAGCCAATTATCCCCGCAAGTTGACCTCAGAAGGTCGATTTTTCCTTTTTGGTCAACTTCGTGAAGGTCGGCGTCATAACGTTGGTCTGTTACTCTTGCTTACACAACACTCAGTTAGTCAACTCAGTCATATTAATGTATTAATCTAACGAAAGTACTCAATTAACACTAAATAATCAAGTTTATGCAATTATGAATGTCAAATGCGCACTCTTTGTTCAAGTCCGTGGAGGTTTTTGTTTGTTTCTTTTCTGTGTTTGAATTTTCTTTCTGTATTACTGTAAGATCCGCTCTAGCATTAGCAGTAGTCGGTAGGTGTGGGAGTATTAAATTTTGAGGTGCCGGCCGGGGTACCTCATCTCCCCCATTAAAAGCCTCGGGAAACCCATAACAATTCAAACACCCTTCATTTTCTTCTCCTCTCACATAACATACCCACTGACACGATTCCCTTCTCATGGCGGCATTAGCAGTGACGAGGACAAGCGCCGTCCTCCTCCTAGTGGTGGTAGGGCTGGCCGTCACCGACGCGCAGGCGCCGGCGGGGGCTCCGTCGGCTGCGGCGGAGGACTGCATGACGGAGTTGCTGGGGATGTCGGGTTGCTTGACGTATGTGGAGGCAGGGAGCAACCTGACGAAGCCGGACAAAGGGTGCTGCCCGGAGCTGAAAGATATAGTGAACAATCACCCAGTTTGTTTGTGCAAACTTCTGGCTGACCCCAACAATAACAGTGTGGGAATCGCAATTGAGGTGAAGAAGGCCCTCAATCTCCCCACTGCTTGCAAGATTGATTCCCTTTCTCCCAGCCTCTGCTCAAGTAATTCCTTTTTCTACATCATTACTCTTTCTAGGTTTTCTTGATTCACGATTTTTTTTTTCTTTCTGTTTTTACACTTCTGTTATATACTATCGTATCTGTCTATTTGCGAAATGACTGAATCAGAAGGTGTAGCGAAAATATTTTAATTTAATCTCACAATTAACTCATGTTTTTTGTTTTGACCACTTTGGAGTCATTTAGTAATCCCTTATTTCTGTTTATCAGCCTTGCCACTTTTGAATTAAAACAACTAAAATTGGAATGACCTTTTTGGCTGACTTGATTGGAGTTGTCATGATCATGTTAGCTATTTTCTCATAGTTCTGTATTGAGTTTAGTTATCATCATTAACAAACCTCATATGATCTATTGAGTCGGTGAGTGAATGTTTCGAAATGAGGATTCAAACCGAGCACTCCAGCCCGCTGGGTGCAAGGTTACCTAAGCCGGTTCGAAACCCGCTCGGCACTTAGGGGAGAGGAGGGAGGTCTTGCTAAGAAGGAAGAAGATGGTAATGAAGGTAGCAAGTACTGACGAGGCTGACTGTGATGAGATCGGACTTAACTGTCTAGGAGCTTTGGAGGGTAGTTTATAGACTCCAGAATTATGGGAGCGTAAGCCCTAACACCCGAATTATAAAAAAAAATCGAAATGAGGATTCGACCTTTGGAACAAGGATGATTACCGGTAATGAACTATTACTACAGTAATAGACAGGAGAAAGTTCAAAAACAGAACAAAGTTCAGATATTCTACGATATTTTTATTGTACATTCGGCCATTCGGGGTCTTGTTTAATTTTCTTTTAACTTTCAGAATCTCTTTTGTGACACTAAAGAAACGAATACTTATATCACGGCGGGTAAATGTATCTAAAAATAAAGGCAGAAAAGGAAAGGGATAAATGAATTTTGTACGTGCTTATATTCATCAATTTTGAAGTCTGTTTATTTCAAAATTTAATAACAATTACAACTTAATAGAAGAATGGTTTATGAGTTCAGTTTTCAAATATAATATACATATACACGCTTAAATATGTTCTTATAAATTATACTACTACTACGTAGTATTTATAAATATACACAAGAAGTATCTTGTATTTTTAGAATTTGTCGCACTATAGCACTTGAAAATAAAAATAAGGTAGATCTTTCCAAAATAGGACTAAATAGGGTTTGGAATTTCAAAATAGGACTGTTATGTTTTTCTTCCCGAAATAGGAGTAAGATGACATAATTTTTACTGCCATCTTTTAGTCAAGACTACCAAATAGTTGCAATACTATGCATTTAACATGACTATATTTATTTATTATAATTAATGGCAATATTTTTCAATCATGCCGGTATTTTTCAATCGTGACAGTAATGGTTCCTATTTCGGGAAAAAAACATAGTAGTCCTATTTTGTGAAATTATCAACGTCGTTTACTCCTATTTAGGTCAATTTCCCGAAAAATAATGATACAATTGATATTAATTGTGAAATCCTATTTAGGTCAATTTCCCGAAAAATAATGATACAATTGATATTAATTGTGAAATAAGAATGATTGTGAATCACCAAATTTGTTATGAGATGGACATGTTAAAGTACTTGATGAAAACTACTTAAAGTAGAAATGTGGTACAAACAAATAAAATAGTGTACATCACATATTTTTTTAAAAATAGAGTAATAATCGATTCATAGTGTTTAAATCCCATATTGAAACAATAGAGTAATACTCTTGTGAAATTCTCAAGTAATTCACATAGTAGTACTCCGTATATAATTTTCTTTTTTGTTAAATCCAAAGTTATGCTGATTTTCTTATAGCAAAACATTGTGTGGTCATTATTATTTGTTTCTAATTTACAAACAAAATTAGAATGATAAGGTTTCATTTTCTAATTCTGTGTACCTGGTCCAGTTGGAGGTTTATTCAAGAACAGAGAGATATAATAATATAATAATGGTAACAATAAATGTTAACCTCATCCTGTCAGGCCAAGAGTTGGCACCTATTTTTCAATGTGTATTGTATGAGTTAATATTAATTTATGGCCAGCTCCCCATGAGACCGTTTTTAGTACGGAGTATATTTCAATGTGTGTATGCCAACCTTTCACAACTGCCAACTACTTATGCGGTGTATTTAGTTGTATATACAGTGATGAATTTAGTGAATCATCGCAATGATAGACATGCTAGGCATATACTCCATTCGTCCTATTTTATACGTAGTAATACTCTAATTACATTATTAGAAGAAATACTACGTATGTGGTTTACAAGATTTCACTTTATTTTACTCAAATTTCAATCACATTTTTTATTTTTTCAACCACTTTATTAATAATTATGTCAAATCAAAATAAGACACATATTATGGGATGAAGGTATTACTTCCTCCGTCCCACTAATATCTTCCTGCTTTCCTTTTATAGCCGTCCCAAAATGATATTCTCATTTCCCTAAATGGAAAGTTATCCTACATCAAAACAGTGTCAAACAGTGCAAAACAGTGCCAAACAGTTTCGAAACAGTGTACTCTACAGTAAAGTCAAATTTATTTCCTAAATATGTGTGTAGGTCAAAGTAGGAAGTTCTTAGTGGGACAGAGGGAGTATTTGTTTTCATGAAATATTAATTTCATTCATTATCCGTGCAACGTACGAGTCAATTCACTAGTATATATATAGAGGAATGATCTTGTCCAGTCGGAGGGACAGGACCCTCCGTCCGGCTGCCGCCGTTTGGGGCGGTTAACGGTAGAATTTTTTTGATGAAATTTTTTGAGCATGTTCCTCATTAAGTCTAGTTTATTCACAAAAAAATTCAGCTAAAAATTCGATCGGGGAGGCAGTCAAATAATTTTTTGAAGATAACTGCGCAAAAATATAAGTTGATAAAATGGGATATTTGAAATTCACTTTTAATTCTTGGATGGTTTCCTGTTATGAAATGCGTTGAATATGTTTTTTGTTACCAAATTGCTTATAATAGGAGCAAAACATAAACTGTTCACAAATAGGACTAATTATGCATGCATTTTTCTTAAAAAATGACTTGTTTTGTTTTAGTGTATGTTAGGTACAATTGAATGAAATGATATATTACAAGTTTTTTAGTAACCGTTAGTTTGCTTTGATTGACCCATCTCTGGTATATATAACAGGTTGTGACAAATTGAGGCAAAAAATAATAGTTTCTCTCGGATACACTTTCTCTCAAAAACTGCTCTAGACATCTTCTAAAAAAAAATCATAGATTTCTAAAACAACACATCTAAATTGTTGTACCAAACATACAAGTAAAAGCTTTTTAAAGACTTGTTAAATTGCATGTAAGTTAAAAGATAGTGAGTTATATTTGGCAAACATGCACTCATTTAAAAAAATAAATGAGTTAAGTCTTCTTCTTTAAGAGTGAATGGCTCAAATTGATGGCATAAAATAAGAGTTTTTTTCAAAATCATTACTAAAATAAAACTTATTTATAAAAATGTTACTAAAGTTACCATGCCATGGTCATTAAGTGTAAAGGTCAAATATAATTTACTATGATTAAAGTTAATATAGTCATTATACTTAAGAATTCACATTTTTGTAAAAAAACCTTTATGTTAATTATAAATATGTAATTATTCATAAAATAATGGTTATCATATCTGAAGTTTGTTGTGTTTTAGTCACAAGCCGGCCATAAAGTAGCCAGTAGAAATTGTATTATTCAAACATCAGCTTTAAAAGATGCAAATGTCACTCTTTTTGTTGAACTACATTACAACAACAACCCAGCCTGTCCCAAAAGAAAATGTTTCAGATTTAATGTTCTTTAACCTGCTAAGAGAATATTAAACTTTATTACTTTTTGGTATTCTCAAGTAATTCAGCCAATTTGGTTATACCCTAGCTAATTTATCTATTTGAGTCAAATTTACAATCACACAAACTGAACTCTCTTTTGTTTCACTTTGCAGTTTTAGGTATAAACGTTGCTGGAGTACCTGCTCCCGCTCCTGCTGAAGGGCCATCATCTGGTATTATCACTCAACAATTCATTATTTCTATGTTGAAAAAATCACTATTCCACCTGCACAAAATTTGATTGTTTTTGTTCAGTATGATCAAATCTCTCGAGGGGGAGAAGTTTGATAGTTTGATGCATGTATTACCCAACAAAAAATCTATAAACATGAAATTTTTTACACTGAAAATCTATAATATGGAGATTTAGATCGATAGCCGAGGTTTTTCTTAAAATATTACTAATAAAAAGTCATGAATAAAAATTTGACTTTGTAATTTTTTGATTTTTTACTGATTATGATTGGGTTCAAAGTTTACATCATGGTCACTAAATCATATGGAGTAGTATCTTTGAACACTTCTATAGTCATTAAAAATTATCAGGTCACGCTTTTATCTACCATTTCTCCCAGAGTAATATTAGTGGAATTTTTTCTGAGCTTTATTACTACTGTCGTTTCTTTAATGTTTTATTAATACCAAGTTCAAAATTTTGTGGGCTTGAAAATGCAGGTGCAGGAAGTCCATCTAGTGTAACAGATGGTAGTGGCGGGTTAGCGTCAAGTCCGGCTGCTGGGAAGGGGGCCAGTGCTGCTCCAAGAACCACCTTCTTTCACCTCTGTCATTCCCTTCTTGCCTTGGCTGCTACCCTTTCCTTTGCATCTTTTCTTTAACTCTTATCAACCAAAATTCATTAAATTGATTTCTCATCATTCATGTCGTCTTTATTTTTCTACTTTGAGGGAATGTTCATGTCCTAATTATGTATCAGTTTGTCTAAAAAGAGCTATGTTTACGATATCTCTGATATTCTCCTGACATTTCATGGTATATATGTGTAATGTTTGCCCTCGGTGTTGCTATTTCATCTACTAATGAGTGTAATGAGTTCGCGTTTCGTATATAGTTTTTGTATATGTTTATTCTACAATCTACACGTGAGATGTCAATGTTACATGGTGCATGTATGACATGAGAAAGATTAATACGGAGTACAAAAGAATAAATCGATAATGATTCTTTCTGTTCCAATCTTAGAGGTGGAGATAGTATGACTTAGAGAGTTAGAGAAAGTGGGTTTTAGACTTTTAGGTGTTCATTTTTGTTTAGGGGTATTACACACTTTTAAACTTTAAAGCGTACTGCAACAGTTTTTTATGTGACCATTTTCTTATAAGTGATTAAGTGAATAATATCGCTCCAGCCACTCAGCCAGTGTGCAAAGGTCACTTCGATTTGAACCGTTGGAAATATGTATGCATATAAATACTCCGTATATAATAACACTGGGGGATGAGGTTATTGGTATGATTAAATTCCTTCACTAATATTCTACGGAAAGACTTCTGATATGGGATGCAAACCCTCCACAATTAGCTGAAGGTGTTTGCATGTATACACAGCTACGGAAGTACTACAAAAACGTATATAAAAGGTCAAAAATGTCAACCATTAAGAACACAGAGTATACTAGGAAATGCATAACTTTATATCTGCCTATGAGATTATGAATCGAGTAGATAGATGACTGTGAATTCCCCCTTCTGTAAGGAAACAGCACTGAGAGTTGAGCAGCAGTGTTGATCATCGTCTATGAACCAACTGAAAACATCACTGTTTCTCCTTTTTTGCCAATGATTCTCCCTTATATTCACTGCCGGCGGTGACCACAAAGCCTGCCCCAACCTTTGTGTGGAAAAGTGCAAACCAAAGTATAGTGAGGAATTTCCGTGAGAGAAAATTAAGAAATTGATGCACTCGAAATGGCAAGCACACACGCACACATATTCTTGTTAGGGAGAGAGAGGTTACTTGGGAATCCCTCAGGACAACACGTTCTTGGAGCTGAACGTTACTGCATACAATGGAACCTTGGATTGTACAACCGTCGCCAATTGTAACATGGTTCATGACAACAGAATTCACTACCTGTGAGTAGTCCATTGTACATCAAAAGGGATCTATTATCATCATTTCGCAAACTACTACTATGATATGTATGAATGCTTCTCTTTCAAATGTCATATAAAGATTACTCCATATTATACCTTTACATTTGAGCCAATCCGGCAATGGCGACCAATGATGGACTTTTTTACGCTGCATTTATCACCCATTTCTGAACCCTCTCCCAGCATACAATGTGGTCCCACCTACAGAATTGATATCAACAAAAACAGTGTATAAATCATCATCAGTTGAGAAGATCAACATCAACAGATTTGTTTGGATAGAGTTTTGGAGGCATTAAAAGCATTGGCTTTGGAGGGCTTAATCGATATCTTGCAAAAGGATAATAGTTTATGAAGGCAGAGGTTCAGGGAATGATAACATCATCACAAAATTACCACAAAATGAATAAGTGAGTGATGTAATGCAAGGGAGAATTTGGATGTTTTTACCATTTCTCGAACCTTTAAATTTTTTATTTAGATTCTACACATCTGAAATACTGGCATAATATGTGACCACATACCATTTCAACCAGCTTTAATCAATTTCATTGCCCCTGTATTTACAAAATACCAAGATACTCCGTATATGATAAGCCCTCCAAAGTCATCACATTCAAAACCACCCATCGAAATAGACACTAAGAAAAAAAATCTGAAAATGCACTTGTGCATCACATCTCACCGTTGTTTTCAAACCAAGCACAGACGAAGGATGAATTACGTTGTTATGTGCAGAAAAAGAGTAACCAGATAGGTGACTGGCATCTCCAATCACCTGAGCAATTTATAGATTAAAATGAGCCAATATAATTTGATATTTGATATGAAGCGTAAGTTAATAAAGTAGGAACGAAGCAAAATCGCTCACATCTCGGTTTATGTCACTGAAGGCTTGGATGGAATTCAAACGCATGCAATAATTGCTCTTGTTAGCAATATAAACACAGCACTTATGGGTTTTCTTAGGAACTGGAACAGATTTTTCAGGACCACCAAATGTATATTGGTCATGAAAACTTTGAACAGAAGCATTGGCCATAAGTTGAGACAACGAAACTGAACTGTTAACCTGTGAAGCATCCTTATGATTCCCATTCTCTTCGGAGTGCACTCCATTGAGTGATAACTCAGATCTCTAAATATAATGTCATAAAAAACTAGTTCAAAACTAACACTATTAATAATAACAATAGTAATAATAATAACCAAAAATCAAACCACTGTGCAGTATATTGTACTAACCAGCTGACTTCTCACAAGATATGGCAAGACATCACACTTCAAGCTTGTTAAGCTTGGTTTAAGAGATAGAACTTCTTGCAGGGCAGTTCTAATAATATTCAAATAAAATTACACTTCAATCCATAAAAGGAAAAACAAAGTGAACTGTGAAAAAAAGTGGCAGTGCTTCACACCTCTTGAATGCATACATGTGAGCATCCATCAGATCAGAGTGAATATCCATCTAAAAGGAACATTTGTATATGAGACTTGAGGAAAGGAGGAAATAGTAAATATAATAAGACAGACAACTAAGTTGTATTATAATTGTTGATAGAAGAGCAGGCCTAGACACCATAGAACCATTAGCTTCCAGGGCCAGAAGTGTCTCATAGTGCTCCAAAATAGTGCATTTATGTGGGTTAAGCATATCTGAATAGCTAGGCAGGGGGGAACCTGGCCCAGGCCCACTAAACTTGGTAAGAAAACATTTTAAATGCATAATATTGTACAAAAAATGATTATATTGTTCTGGCACCTCAAATTTGAGTTTTGGGGAGACCTAGTTTTTAATAGGCCAATGCAAAGTTAGGTACCTTCCTAAGTCCTAAGCTATTGTAGCAAAAAGACTCGCATTCAAAACATAACCATCATATTTAGATATCCGAATTTCAGAGTACGGCTTTCTGCAAATTATATTCAACACTAAATTGTTTGATGGTTGAAATGATATGATAATGCATGAGGTGCAGGAAAATAAAATACTTGGCCAACTGCTCTGAGTATGCTCTTCTGAACGCGCATGTCTTTCTCAACTTCAAATCCTGGGAAAGAATGGAAATGCTTAATAGTGCCTAGTGCCTACTAAGAAGTGGATGGTAAAACAATGTCCAGGAAAAGAAAGGTCTCACCAGCTGCGATATGCAGAAGAAATTGCTTAGTGGGGTCCAGTCCAACAATATTATAGCGTGCAGGTTTCTTTGCAGATGAGCCCGCTGACTCTGAAGGTCCACCAGCTGGAGCATAACAAAGCATCGCAGTAACAATAGCATCATGTCGTCTGTGAACTGCTGCAACAGCCCCTGGAGGAATATCAGAAACCAGATCACCACTGACAACCTACACAATACAGGATTAGATGAGATTTCAGGGACATTTGGAACCCGTAAAATTGCTAGGGGGACAAAATATGGAGGAAAATAGTCGGGAAATCTGTGACAAAAGAAATTTGGGGAGGGGGGGACTTGGTTCAGACTCAATAAATCATTTCTAGGTATTTGTTCAAACTCATTGTATTAATGTATTTCTATTCCAGTATAAAAAGACTATAAGATCTAATTATATATACAACAACATCCAAACCATATTCCCAAAACACCCACACGATCTAAATATATATAAAAAATTTAATTGATAAAATCAAATATGATTTTTCTTTGTATTTCCCTAGGTAAAGCCAGGCATTTAATGAAAAAAAAAAATAGATTATTTTATTTCCTTACTCTACCTTTTTCTGCATCCCAACTATAGCCTACTACACACGTATAAGCTAAATTCCAAGTTGAATACCAACCAAGATGTCTTTTGCTGTCAGGTGCGGATCAATTGCCCTCAGTGCTCCTGCTGTTCCTACATCTTCAGGAACTGCCGCAACCTGTGAGACATTAATTACTTTATTAGTTAAGCATCCAGCACCAGCAGTCACGCAAGAATAAAAATGTCCATAACATACACAATAATATCCAATTATTGAAACACTAAAGCTAGTAAAACTTAGCGAGTATAGATATTACTCTAAGCTTACAAGTTATGCAGTCTATCCAAGCCTTAATGAGTTTTCATCAGTGTTTGTGAGCTGTTTCCGGATGGGTCATCCGGAAACAGTCTCTTTGTGCTTTAGTACAGGGGTAAGACTGCGTACATCCGACCCCCCCTTACCCCACCGTAGGTGGGAGCCTTTACGGCACTTGGGTAAATGATGATTGATTGATTGATTATTTAAGCAACATCATGTAAGTTATTAGAAAAAACAACTCAAGATCATTTTTTAGAATTATCAGAAACAGCAATTTATTGGGCAAATACAGTGTAGATTGAGATTAGATTGAGATTTGTTTCAGAGTAGCCAAAACATTGTAGTTTCAAAGTTTTGAGGTTTTCTCGAACACTCTTTAAGGATTACAAGTCTATAACCAATTGAGCATTTTTACAATCTTATTTTAGCAGTGTCTGGAAAAATTTAGTGACACTGCCCTGAAAGCCATTAAAGTAATACAGGGAAGGGGTGCACTATGCACAGTAAGTCTGGTCATCTATTCATCTCAGAGGTTTTTTATGATTCTATAATAAACCTGCAAATCTTCAATTTATCAATTCAATGTTTTGCCACAAATACAACAAACAACAACATCATCCAAGCCTTATTCCCAAAAGATTTTGGGGTCGGCTAACATGAACCAATCCATGATATCGGAGCCACAAAGGAAAGAAAGATAAGGTAAGATAAAAAGGATAAAGGGATAACATAAAGATAAAAATGCAGCATCAAAATCATTCATTTTCCTACAAAAGGAGTAATCTGTATAGATAGTGAGAGTGTGCATACCTCAACATGTAGGCGGTCAACATAGGCACTACATATCCAAGCCCCCACTAAAGCTGCTGCATCTTGCCCTTCAACCACCTATGGTCAAAATAATGGAATTAGGAACCCTAATTCCCTAATATCCACACTGATTCCCAGTACACATCACATGAATACCCCGGATCAAATTTAAGATACTTAATTTGGCCAATGAGTACCTAAAGGC